ACATAGCCATGGAAAATAGAGTTAGGAGAGACAAATCCACCCACTACAAGGCAGGAACTACTCTACTTAAGTCATTTAGCAGTTGCTCTAATCTGTTCTTAAAAGTCTCCAGCGTGGGAGCTGCTGCCATCTTCCTACACAATCTGTTCTCATGCCTTTCCATCCGTACCACTGGCAAGTTTTTTCCAATGTCTGGCCTAAATCTCACCGGTGAATAAACTGTAGGGAAAAAATGCATTATTTTCCAGTAGGATCTGCCTCATTCGTGGCTCCTCAGCTTTCTCTTACGTGATTTTCCCACACCCAATTTTAATTTGGCCCAAAGGCTGGCGGTGGCCAGAAGGTGTTCAGACTTTCTGCAGCCAATTCACTTATTCCCTTTTCTCCCCCAATGCCTCCAGGTGACTCTCCTGCTGTACAACTCAACCAGGATGAGGCAGCTGCTTTCCAAGTCTGTTGTGATTGATGATGATGATGACGACGAATATCCCTGGAGGCAGAATGCTCACAAGTACTACATCCATCTAACTCTCAGCCTTTTCCTCTTTCTCTGGTTCATCCTTGGGAACTACTGGGTTTTTTCTGTGTACCTGCCAAATTTCATCCCCCCTTTCCATCAGCCTCAGGATTACTGTGACAAAACCCTGTACATTTTTGCTGTTGGTGTTCTCATTATTAGCCATACTGTTCTCTTTCTCCTTATCTTTTGTACCTGCTGCATATATTGTTTTTCCAGGCAAAGATACTCTTCTGAGGAAGACTAAATGCCACATAAATAAAGCCCCAGATGTTTGGGAAAGAGTGTACAACGAAGACCAGGCAATAATTCACCCTTGTGTACATCTTTGTTGTACTGTATCTATGTATGATAACAGTCAACTGCAAGAGGAAATTGTAAAATACAGTGCCATCTGGAAATAGCTAAGCTGGAATACAGCATAGTCAATGTAAGATCGCTGCTACAGATGCCAGAGTGCACTCTTGCTAACTTCTATATCCCTTTTTTAACTTCTGGATATTCTATCTATAGCTCCTGCAGATGGCAAACTCCTCTAAAACCAGGTCCCCTTACGTTGTCTCAGCATAGTACATCTTTGCATATAAAAGTAGCCATGTTGTCCTCTTCACTGGGATCTGAACATCTCCGTAGCCTTGCTGAGATATGTTACTGTCCCCGCATTACAGATGAGGGAGCTGAGACAAAGAGATAAAGGGCTGTATTCAGACCACCTTGCATGGCGCATGGACTTTGACAGTATCTTAGATGCTCACTAGAGAGCTATTTCAGGCCACTGTTACACCAGCCAGTTAAGTAGCTATGATAGCAATACGAGCATGTATAAGAGGCAGCCTGAATATGGCCCCCAGGTCTCTTCTGAACTTGGATCAGAAAGCATCTATATCTAACTTTGGTGCTAAAACAGATAGTCTGACTATATCCATATATATCCAATACATCCAAACTGAGCCAAGGCCACTTTGCAAGTCTTCAGCAGAACAAGGAACTGAGCTACTGAGTATCAGATCAGTGCTTTAACCAGGGCTCAGCATTCCCCAACCTGGGGAGACTCCTCTTCTCCACTTTTTGTATAGCAGTAATTTGTCAGTACCACACCAAGACAAAGATGGTTGTCAAACCATTGTGATCAAGTTCATAGAAAAACTGATGATATTATGTTGGTATTTTAAATATAAAACACGATAATAAGACATGGGCAGGGATGTGAGAATTTCAGGTGGATGTGTTCGCTACAGCAGTTCTCTGGTTGTGGTGTGAGTGTATGTTTGATTTGTTCACCTTGGTGCTGTACATATGGAAATGTATACTTAATGGACAGATGTAATGCAAACAGCTTTTAAGTCAACAGCAGTGTCAGCTTTAAAAGCACCAGCATGCACAGAGACAATTGTTTTGTGACATGTAATGGAACAAGCCCGTAACTGGTACTGGTAGATTGTTTTTTCATGTGTCGATGAATGCAGTGTAAAAGTGCTCTTTCTGCTTTTGCTTTTATGCACTTCTGTTAATATGGTCAAAATGGAGGGGCTCCCCTCTAAACAAGCATGAGGGTGGCCCCAGGCACAGGAAAAGGATGTGTGGTTTGGGTATTTTTTCTGTTAAAACCCACGCAGCTGAAACCTATGTTTTAGAGAAACCTAAAAGAGTTACACGGTGCCTGTGGAAGGGTGAGATCTGTAAAAGAACCTCAACAATATGCCACAGCTGAACACGCTCCACTCAACCATCCTTCCTGGGACTGAGGCTGAACACAGCGTAACATCTGTGGGAACTACCTGTCTTCAACCACGAACATTTATCTTTGGGGCTATTGTATAGCTAACTAAGGGTGCATTTGGTCCATAACGATTTTAATTCAGGCCCTGGCTTTAAGAATTGTTTATTTCCAGAAAACTAATCCTAGAAAGAAGGTAGGATAAAGAGTGAAATAATCTGACAAGAGGGCAACATCTGTGTAGCATTCCCCTGCTCTGCAGCAGCCACTCAGGAGCAGTCACGGTCAGGCTGTCCCTGCTCAGAAATCCATGGAATGGGAATTACTAACACTGCTGGCTGACTTAGGCCATGCACGGTTGTATGTAGGGAGATATGACCAATGGAAATCTTTCCTTTTATTCGTGGGCCTCAGATTGTGTCTGGGAGAAATCACAGGCTGTGTTTTCCCAAGAGCTGCTCCACTCCACGCTCTCCACTGCCTCTCTAAAGGTACTACACATTTCTGAAACTTAACTGCTGCCAATGGTGGAATGCTAGAATTCCTCCTTCCCACCCCAAATACTTCACTGGCTCAGCACTTGGGCTCCTGGATTTCAGCGTTCAGTTCTGAACTGATCGAAGTGATTTTACCTTCAGCGGAGAGCATCTTTCATTCATTAAGATGCTGAAGTGTTCAAGAAATTGCCTATCAGCAGGCATAACTCCATCCATCACTCGAATGCAACAAAGCAGCTGTTTATCATTACACATGAACTTTACCCAAATGCTTGGAACAGGCATAAAAAAGAAAATTATACTCAGTTGATAATGCAAAAGAAATTTAACAAGAAAGTAGCTACACACACTCCACCCATAAGACTCCGGTACAAACTTCCCTGTTCTTGCGAAATGCTGCTAGAATCATTCTTGATCACACGGAATTAAGGGCTCATACTCTTGATTAAGTCTGAACTGATTCCCACGTCACTGCACATCCAGTGACATTGCAGCAAGTGATGATGTGTGCGCTCCTATCTGAGCAAATATGAGGTGATCTTAGTTCTGCCCGGAGGAGAAGAGATGTAAGCTAAGTCACATTGCCTTGTGTTTTCTGTGTGCCTGTGTGGGCATAGTTACAGCAGCTCAGCAGATGTGCAATGATTTATCAAACTTCAGCCACACAACGGTAAGCCTGAGGCCTATGTCTCATTCACGGGGGGCTAAGACTGACTGATTCTCTACAGTCTACCATGGAGGCTTAATTCTTTAGGTATGAGAACGCGGTGCATTCATTGACGTCTTGGGAAAGTGCTGCCAAATCACAGTGCTAGTGCTCAGTACCTGGCTGGCACAAACGCAAAATGATAGAGGAGGTATCAATGAAGCAAAAGGCAGTTGTGAAATACCTTGAAGTTATACAGAGTAAACAAAAAGCTTTGTTAGGACTGGGAGAGGAAAATTCTGAATTGATACTATTTAACGTCACTTGTGTACATCAATAAGCTATGGCACATGCAAGTGTGAACATCAACACCTCCAAAATTGTTGGAGCCATCAATTCTGTATCCAGAGAGAACTGAGCATGCCTTCTGCACTTCCACTGCTACTGCCTCCTTCAGCAGGCTGCAATCAAGGTGTGGAGGAGAACGCGGTGCATTCATTGACGTCTTGGGAAAGTGCTGCCAAATCACAGTGCTAGTGCTCAGTACCTGGCTGGCACAAACGCAAAATGATAGAGGAGGTATCAATGAAGCAAAAGGCAGTTGTGAAATACCTTGAAGTTATACAGAGTAAACAAAAAGCTTTGTTAGGACTGGGAGAGGAAAATTCTGAATTGATACTATTTAACGTCACTTGTGTACATCAATAAGCTATGGCACATGCAAGTGTGAACATCAACACCTCCAAAATTGTTGGAGCCATCAATTCTGTATCCAGAGAGAACTGATCATGCCTTCTGCACTTTCACTGCTACTGCCTCCTTCAGCAGGCTGCAATCATGCAGGTGTGGAGGGACACCTGGGTTTGGGAATATGATTAAATACAACTGAGTTACACTGACTTACTAAGTTACTACTCTTCTCCTGACCCACCATCAGCAGCATAGTTTCTCTTGGGTTGCTCCACTGGCTAAATAAAGCACTCAGTTTAAACCCAAATGAAAGTAGTTTAATTGAAGGCACTTTATCTCACTTTGGGGTAAGCAAGGAACGTGTGCATGGTCCACAGCACCTTAACTTGCAAGCAGCAACTTTTTAAATTGCCACAAACTGATGGTGTCCCAGACATATGCTCAGTCCCTGGAGAAGTAGGCAGATTTCCTCAGCAAACAGCTGTGGGGGAATTAAGCCATTACAGCCCAAGGGTCAAATGGCTGAAAATACAATCTACATCTTGGTATGAAAATGTTTAATATTTTGCCACTAGACTAAAATTACAAATTTAAAATGTTCATTTTTTTTCACAGTAATATAAATGTCTTCTGGAGATTGAATAAAATACACCCTTAAGCTAATTATTATGAACTCAGAAATGTGTTGACTACGATGCAGGAAACCAGCTGTAACTGTTCCAGTTAAATCATCTCCCCTTCTTGAGAAACAAAGGTCTACTTCTAGCTTTTAAAGCAAAAAATATACATGATTTCAATGGATAGATAGCCTGCTCACTGCTAGTTGTGGGTACTACAGAAATCTAATAACATAAAGACACAAAGACATTTCTGCATGCACACACAGACTCTAAACATATACATATCATAAATGCAATGGTAGCAGCCATGAAATAAATCACACTTATTACAGTTTATTGCCCACAGTATATTTCTCCTCCCACTACTCCACCTTTTTTAGCAATGGGTATGATATTCCAAAGCTCTAGGGAGCAGCTTCCCACAGCTGTTTTAAAAGCTGCAGCCAGACAGGCAAATGTTTTGTTCCTTCATTCCAAATGTTGAACACAGACAGCTCCTACCTGCTGACCCAAAGAAGAGAGGAAAGATGAGCAGCAGACATATCACAGACCTCACCTCCTCAGGAGTAGAAACAGGAACGTTGTGCTGTTGGAGAAGAGAAGTGGATCTCTCTCACAGAGCACTCGCTCTGAGCTTTATGAGGTCCCAAGACATCAGACTTTAAAACTTTAAAAAGGTGACTGTGCAGAAAAAAATAAAGAAATAGAAGCTATTCTAGGTTATGTCAAGAGCTGTTTTGAATGTCTCAGATCCTGAAATGTGAACAGTTGGTGTAAATGAGCCTAAATGCTTTGACTTTACAGGCAAAAGGCTACGCAGATTAAACTGGTGGTAACTTGTACACATTGTACAACATTCTAAACCAGATCAGTTTCTGTAAGTTATCTTGAATCTTATCTCTGATTATTCATCTTCCCCAGATTCTAGTTGAAAGGGAGTTTGCATCACGATGAAGACCCATTTATGTTCTACAGATAATATAGAAAGGATTGTTGTATCAGGACTGCAATTTGAAATTGTTGCTTCTTGGCTTATGTTTCTTGAGGTTCCTGTTTGCTACTGGAGTACATGAAAGTCCCACAGGTGCTAGCTGTAAGAGGAAAAAGAAAACATTTTTAGAAAGTACAATATTTGAGGGAAAATAAAAAAGGCTGACAAGCGCCATCTGATACTGCATAGTACAAGAAAACAAAGTACAAGAAAACTGCTAAAAAGAACAATGTTATATTGCAAGCACAGGTTTCTGAGAAAATTGTATGAAGTTCTGAGGAATCACATATAGATGTCTGTAACAGTGAATTTCTACCAAATGTCTCATTTGAATAAAAATGCAGGGAGGAAGATATTGACCAGTGTAAGTGCATGAGGCCATGTGATTGGAGTTTAAAAATTAAGGTACTTTACATTTACCAGTCATGCTAATTATAATCAACCCTGCTGCAATTTCACTGAGATGAATAGTTACATCAGAGACTGATTTCACCCACAGATTTGAATCTAAGCCATGCTGAGTCTTCTGTACGATCATTAATACTCAAGCAAAGGGGGAATCTGTGATACCTTTCCCCGTGCTGCAGTATAGCAGCTCAAATGCGAGAGATGCTCTGAGATGCAAACTGCGGGCCTGTAGGCCAACCTCAGTCCTCTGGAAAAAAATATTTAGCCTTTCAGTATCAATATGAAATGAGTACACAGGGTGCAAACAGTGGAGGAAAAAAATCCACTATGCACACTTAGTCACAACTTGCTACAGACAACACTTTTTTATTATCATTGCTTATTTTTGTTTTTTATATTGCTATTCTACTTCTGCATGGATTTCACATTACTAGTTCAGAAATTCTATTTATTTTCAGAATATATCAGAAAAAGAGTTGCTTCATTATTTTTAATGGACTTTTAAAAAAAATTTGTCCAACAACAGGTGAAATAAGAATTTTAATAAACAGGTCTGGTGGTTATTTGCAGGGGAGGTGTCCTGGTTTCGGCAGGGAGGACACTCAGCGGTCCCTCTCCTTGCCAGGACATGCCTGTCCCTGGGAGGCCCCGCAGGCTCTCAGAGACCAGGGCCCTCAGCAGTTGATGGAGCAAACTCATACTTCTGATAAGGCAAATTAAAAGATTCCTTTCACTGGCCCCTGAATAAAAAGGAGTGATTGAGCTGAGCTGATGACATACTGCTACATTTGTTTCTCGAGAACAAAAGGCTATTTGGTCTGAGGAAAGCCTGACTGTTCATTGGAAACAACGCTGCTGATAACAGCGACTGGCAAACTTAGCAATGACTTGGGTATAAGAGCACACAACAAGGAAAATACACTACTGTTCATAAAAACACCACACATGCCAGAACTTTGACCCCTCCCTGCATTCAGGATGAGCAGCTTTTGCTTCCCTCTTCGACCACTCACCAAACCTTCTGCTTCAGCCAGGCAAAAGGAAGAGTGCCGACTGCCTCTCCCCAGGCTGCTGACAGCTCTTAATTGCTATTACACTCACTGGGGCAGCGCTAGTTTCTAAAGCTGGAGTTTTCAAATGTTCTGCACCTAGAGCTGAGGCCAGCATGGCAAATGCAGGGTTGGGAGTGGCTGCCACAGCAACAGTGGCTTGCACATGGTTGCCACTTCCTTTGAAAACCTGTCCACAATTATAGATGCCAAGCTTTTCTGTAAATCTGGCCCTTAAAGCCTGCTCCTGTTCCCATTGCAATCAGTGGCAATGTTCTGATTGATTTAATGGGAGCAGGCACAGAGACTTAATTAGAAAATTGGTAACTGCAAGGAAAGGAGAGAATGCACAACAGCCTGCCAGATCTCCGGTATGAAGCAAGCAAAGGAGCCAGTTGTCCTTAAGACAGAGATTTTAGCCTCTCAAAAAGAAAAAAAGAAGGATAATAAGAGATTGGCAAGATGGCCTTGAAGCTGCTTTTAAACATCCTGTATAATATATATAATTGCTTTTCAGCTCTTGAGTACTCTATTTACCTTTTAGATCTGTTCCCTGTTTCTGGAAAGAAAATATGAAACATGCTGAAACACACAGCGATCGGTATTTTCCATTTTTCTCTTGTGTTGGGAGGCAATTAAAAGTTTGCTTAAAACTCCTTGCAGGTACAGGTACAAAGATGGATCAAGTCTAAGGTGGGTTTTTCATATTAGTCCAGCTGGGAGCCAGAAAGGTATTTTTCACCAGCTCTTGTGTTTTAAGAAAATACTGAGATTCTCAATTCATTACTGCATGAAAAATCCTAATATCTGGAGGTTATTAGGATTTTATTTGCTCCAGATTTTATTTGCTTTGAGGATTATCTGCATTCACGGAGGGCCTGCATAACAGACTTGGGGGCTACTACTACACTGGTAAATGCATCTATCTGAATGCAGGACCACCAAGCCAAGCTGTGCAGTGTTAACCCTGGTGCAGTCTCGTCCATAGTGCTTGGGAACAAATTATCCCCTGAGCAAACTATCCCCCCTGACAATGTTTGAGCTTGTTTTGGACAGAAGTATCTATTTAATACTTAAAGAGAGCCTGGGCATCAGCAATCATTTGCCTAGTATGGGCAATAAGAAGATCAGGACCTCGGAATATGCTACAAGTTATTTGATAGTGTAGATACTCCTCAAGGGGGACAGTTAACTTGGATATGTTTTATCAGGGCTAAACACCGGCTTGTGTTTAGCCAGGGTAAAGCCATTTTGTTCTATGCTCAAATGAGGGACATGTCTGGAGCTCAACAGACTTGTGGCTCTCTTGATCCCGCCCTTCCAGTGGGGGAGCCAGGCTATACATTATCAGTTGCTGGCTGTGATAACTATCTGAGATGTTGGCTGCCAATCCATGAGGAGAATTCCTTGTCTAAAAAATCCTTCGCATTCAGAGCAGTGTCCTATTGGAGTTTAACGCTAAGCTAGTAGCAATCATGAAAGAAACCAAAACCTTCCAAATTTCCAAAGCTCCAGAATGGATTCTAATTCAGCTAACAAGGTATATCAACCTAGAATTCAGTACAAAAGACAACATGCAGCCAAAACTCTTGATGGGGGCAGAAATTTTGCCTCTGAGAGTACTGTGAGGCAGTCCCTTCATTAGCACCAGCCAATTCTTGGCAAAACTATGTCTTACCATTCTCCTGCACACAACCCATACTGCCTCATCACTGTGATGGCTGGGTTAGCAGAGAACACTCATACAACCTCTACAGCCTCCTGCCTCTGGAACAACAACATAAAAGCAAAACATCACAGGGGGTGAAATGAGTAGCAGAAACATCTAGGTGTTAGGACACTGTGCAACAGCTCGCTTCTGATATGAAGCTGTTCAGAGAGAGAGATATTTCATGGCTGAAATATTTATGCACAGATGTGTAAACACCGTGCTGTGACGATTCCTTTCTGGGTGCAAGCTTAGGCCCTCACTATGGAAAAAGCGAGTGTTTCCAAGCAGAAATCTCTCAGCTGAGTGTGCTCAGGGATTGTTGCACTCTGGCAGAGGCATCATTTCTCAGCCTTTACAAAATCTCCTGAAAATGGCATTTCTTAGAAGGGTATGGCTAACATCACAGTAGGGGTGCTAGAGTATTTATGTAATATCCTCAGAGAATTCTGTGTGTGTACTAGGGTGACACTGGTTCCCAACCCTACATTCAAATGTCTTCCTAACAATCTTATCTTCTCTAATGTTAATAAGAGTAATATGCTGTAATTGCCCATTACTGCTTAAACCCCAAAATATTATGAGCTGCTCCCATTGTCTGGCTGCCGTAATATATTTTTATGTTTGACTAATGGACAGCTTCTGCCATGCATACTCACATTGGTTAGTACCTCAGGGCTGCACCATCCAGCATCTTGCTGATTACAGTCCAAATGGTTTAGCCTGTAAGGAATTCTGTGTATCTGCATACACCCCATTTACTTTCAGAGGTCGGCAGGCTGCAGGGATGTACTCCCCAATTTATGAGAACATAGACTGAAATTACAAACAAAACACATCAGAGCCATCATCCAGTTTTTCTTGTACTAAGCCATAGTCTCAGTGCTTAAGAAATAAACAGGGTAAACAAAGAAATGACAAGGGAATACAACACAACCTGGCTTATTGCATTTACTCACAGGAACTTCCACAGGGTTTTTATTTTGGTTGGGGTTTGCTAATGTTTTTCAAACTGAAGCCTATTTCCTGTAAAGAACGCAGCTAATTCTGTGGCGTAAGCAACCGTGGAACATTATTGTTCTCCTAACAGCACACTGAGATGCACTGAAGGTTACAAAGCCCAAGGTGAGACATTCTCCAACTAGCACAAAAATGTGGGGCAGCACTGCAGTTTTCTGCCTGGATATTCATAACAGCAGGCATGCCCACATAATTCTCTGGTTTTCCCCTGCTGTGTATTTTCCCTGAGCCAGGGTTCAAGGAAAGTACCGGGAACAGCAGGCATGCCCACATAATTCTCTGGTTTTCCCCTGCTGTGTATTTTCCCTGAGCCAGGGTTCAAGGAAAGTAACCAGGCAGGCTTGTACAGGCTGTGAGGGAAAGGGAAGAGCTGAAGGGCTAGCAGGGCAAGGGATTGAAAGTAGGAAGAGGGGACATTATCTCAGCCTGTACACAGGACTTGCACAAGCCTAACATCTGCTCTGTTCACAGCGAGTGTGATTATCTAACGTCATTATAGCAGTCTAGGCTGTACAGTTTTGGTTGCTAATTACACGTTGTAGGTGATGATCACAAAACTATTTCCATATAGCTCACAATTATATACTTACAGACATCATAGTATGTATCTGTAGTTCAGGCTGCCATTCGTTTTCCATTATAGGAAATAATGTTCTGCCAGTCACACTATTGCCAAGCTGTTCCTTTCTGGGCCAGAAGTTTCCATTTCAGGCATCAGAATCAGGATGAATTGTTTAGGAACACTTCAATCAAAAACGCCTAGCCATTTCCAAGAACAAAATCAGTTAAAACTGACTCAGGCTGCTGAATTAAATAAATTCTTTCAGCTGTTTTAATAAGAACAAGCATTTTCAGATTTCATGCAAAGGTATGACATTTAGCTGGATGGTCTCTGAATGGAACAAAATAGCACTGTGAAAATGTGTCTTTTTGCCCTCTGAAAACTCTTATTTCACACACAATACCTAGTACAAGCAGACAGTGCTGAGTTCAAAAGTTTTAACTTCATGGTGGGAAGTACCTTTTGTGTGAGCCTAATACTCACACAACGTGCTGAGAAAGTGGAAGACTTTAGTACGAGGCCTTTGCCAGAGTGAAAAGATTTAGAAAAAGAAGTATCAGGCTATCATACAGGGTCAAAAAAGACAGAATATTCTCATTCCTCCCCTATCTCTGCTATTGAAACCAGGTAACTTAAGCTCTTGAAAACTTGGATAGGGTTCCCAAAGTAGCTTCTCTGCATGGGGCCCTGCATACCACATAAAATACATGGATTTATCTAACTTGCACACTGAACTTTGTAAGTTCATAGTCCTTTAATGTACTTAAAACATAATTAAACCTATAACAACAATTTCCTTATGGCTAACATGGGCTGTCCAGATGTGCAACTCCAAGTGATTCTCTTGGGCTTCATAGCTCCAATGCACATACCAGAGGAACTGAAAACACATTTTGAATTTCACTCCCCCTACTGCAAGGGCCGCTTGTGTACCCTTTCCTACAGGTATACTTTAGCCTATTAGTAGGAGCCAGGAATTTCATGGGTTTATTTGTTACATAAAATGCTACTTGGTGTGGCACAACACGGCTGTTTATGTTTCTGCAAGAGCATCCCTTTGACAGCTTTCCAGAGCAGAGGAGGCAGGCCCAGGTGCTGTAGCACTGCTCCGCATTCCCAAAACATGACACCCCATTGCAAGCCCTGGCTTGGTTGACAGCAGGTGCCCTGGGAAACTCTCCTTCCTTCCTCTGCCACCGCCTTCACCAAGGCACAGCAGTCTCCAGCACGGTAGGGGCTAACTGCGGCACTTGCCAAAATGCCAGGCTGGCTGGAGGCACCCAGGCCAGTTGGCTAAAAGCAGCCCCCTTTCCTTGCTGGCTAACGAAGAAGGGGGAAAAATGGAAAGGATAAGAAAAAACAACCCACAAACCGCTGTGGGGGAGGAAGGGGGCACAACTCCCCCTCACAGACACACACTACGCTCCCTCGCACCCCTCTCCCCCTCGTGCGGCTAAACAGTAATGGCGGCGGCA